AAAAAAAAAAAAAAAAAAAAGTAGAAGCAAAAAGTCCATTAATGAAGCATCTACTACTTTCTCACGTACCGACTGCCTTTTACTAACTAGATCTTTGCCGCGGCAGAAAGGTACAGTGAGCATCCAGAATCCACAGTTCAAATTATCTCCCCACATTATTCTGAGGGAGCGCTGAAATCCCGGGGTCCGAGGTGCTTGGGTGAGGAGGGGCACATTTCATCAGGAAAGCACACTGGACGTCAGTGCTCCCCAGCGAAAGCCTGGGGCAATGTACCTCTTGCGTGAGCCTGGCTTTCCTTCTCACTGTAGCGCCACAGGCCAGGCCAGATTACAATCGGCGAATCCCTGAATCTGGATCCAGATGTTGTGAAGCAGATTGAAATCGAAAATGATGGGGGAGGGGCGGGCCCTGAATCCCCTCCCAATTTGGCTTCCCTTCATCCCTCTGCAGCATCTCCCTAGATGCGCGGCCAGCCAGGGTCCCTCCCGGCGCGGGCGGGGTTAAGCGAGGGCAGAGAGCGAATGATTTCAGAGAAACCGTCCAAGCTTCAGTTCCCATAAATGCGCGGGCCGCAGGGGGTGGGGCGGGGCTGGAGGAAGTGGGGACGGGAGGGGCGGCCCAGCCCTCGGACTTCCAGTAACAGGTCTGCGGGGCGGGGCCGGGCTTCCTGCTCCCGGGGGAGGGAAGCCTGGCCAGCTGGGGATCTACCCGGCCATACCCTGGCACCCCAACTTCCACTCTCCCAATGGGGGAGGAAACAGAACCCCGAGTCCTCCAGCCTTGGGGCCCCTCTTGCAGCTTTACTGGGCCCAGCCTCAGCTGGCTTCTAGTTCCGGTATTCCTGCATTCACACCAAGGTCTTTCTTGGGACTTCAGAAACACACATATAAGTTTACTGAGCAACGACACTCCACCCCGCCCCAAGTGGCTTCTCTTTCCTTCACGTTCCTTGGAAGACATGGAACTGCCTTACTCCAATCTTTGTGTGTGTGTGTGGGGGGGGCACACTTCCAGACCCTAAGACAGTCAGCTTCATTAAAATATGGGACCACATTATTACAGCGGGTCTGGGTTTAGTTTATCTAAAGTTTGCTTGATTTCTGGTGCATGGGGGCCTAACCGAGGGCTATGACCCCTGAGCCCCTCCCCCAGTGTAACCTGCTATTCCGTTTTAAAATTCTTTCATTTTCTTTAAAATGCATGGAACCACTGTCGTGTTTTGAGACAAGGTCTCGCCACCCTCTGCCCTCCGCCTGCCTTTCTAGTGCTGCGATTACAAAGTGTGCACACGACTGGCTGAAATACTTTCTTCAACAAAGGACTGAAAACTTGTGCAGTTGGTCCTTCCTTTGAGACCTGTGTAAATGTCAGGTCCCCAAACTACGAGCCCCCATCTCTTTCTTTATTCCCCTACCCAGTTCCTTCCTGAGACTTAAGGCATGTACCCCACGTCTCTTGCAGAAAGATTTGGACTCCAGATGGCCTTACTCTGTAGCCCAGGCGAAACTCAAACTGGAGAGGACTCTCCCTGAACTTGCTGGGAATATTCGAAGCTTGAGCCACCACGCTGGCTTTTCCTAAGATTCTTGTTTCCCTGAAAGAGGCCAAGTCCGGACAACAGGCTTCTGGTTCTCTAGAATTTAGACTTAGGGTCCCTGGCCAGTCTCCCTGCCCCGCCCTCCCCCAGCCTGTGTGAAGTGGGGCTGGTGGCGCAGGCAATCTGCTGGAGTTTGGCCGGCTGCCCATTCCGGTAAGTCTCGGCCCCAGCGGAAGGGGTTAAGGTTGGAGGGAGCGCCGGAGGGAGTGAAGGGTGCTGACGTGGGGAAGGCAGAGCAGCTGGGCTGCGGTCTAGTTCTGCGGGAAGGGATTTCCCCGAGCCGGCAGCTGAGGCAGAAGTGTTTGCGTTGGGGGTGAGGGGGGCGGGGGGAGGGGCCTGGAAGAGGGGTGAGGGGCTGTGAGTGCAGACTGCACCTTGCCACCAGACCACAGACAGCTCACCCCTGGGGACGGTTACAAATTAAACCTCCGCATTTGGTCCCTGGGGTGGGAAGCAGCTAGAGTTTTATTGAGTCTTTTATGGACCTCTGACACTTTCTCCTGCTTGAACTCACGTGGTAGCCTACAGCCTCCCCAGGGCAGCTCTGTGCAAACATTACCTACTCAAGTATTGAGCGCTTACTGTTTGCCCAGGCCTGGTCTGTGTACGCTTGTGTATACACCATTGTGTAAGGTCTATGACGAAGCCTGGTTTCCAAACAGAAAAGGAGGCTCCAGAACACCAAGCCAGCAGTCCAACCCTTCTCTACACAAATGGGCCAGTTGATCTCTGGCTAGAGAGTCCAGATAGCAAACCAATTCCCACAAGCGGGTTCTTTATAGTTTCCATTTCAGCCAAATGATAATCCCAGTATGTGGGAGGCTGAGGTAGGAGGATTGGGTTGCTGTGAGTTATAAGCTGACATAGGCTACATACTGAGTTCCAAGCCACTCACTTCCAGAGTGAGACCCTGTGTCAATGTAAACGGAAAAAGCTAGGCATGGCGGTGCAGGTTTGGAATCCTAGCACTGGGAGATGGGAGCAGGAGCTAAGTAGTCCTAGGCTAGATAGTGAGTTCTGGGCTAGCCTGGACTACATGTGGCCTTTACTCAACAAAACGAAACAGTTCATCTTTTCCAAAGAGGGGCATACTTACAATTCCTGTTTTTTACAGAGAGGGAAACTGAGGTACCGAGGAGGGAGAAACAGCTGGGATTCACGCCCAGGTTAATTGAACAGCTGTCAATTGCATGGGGTGTTCATTATATATATGCTCTGCCCAGGCCTAGACCGTCCTCTGACCCGAGAGATAAACCAGATGGTTGGGAAATCAGCTCAGTGGGCTATGGCCGTGAAAGAATGACGTGGACTAGAAGAGAAATGATCCAAGACTGGGAGGAGGCCAGTGTGAGGGCTGCTTTACTCTGCGTCCAGCCTCGAGTTCGTGAATGTGAGTGAAAACAGGCACCATAGGTTCTTCATACAGTGACAGGCACACAACAGCTGCCAAGGGTGCTGGGGGAGGAACCTGGGCCTCGTGTGTGTGTGTGTGTGTGTGTGTGTGTGTGTGTCTGTGTGTGTGTGTGTGTGTATGCTAGACAAGCAAGCACTCTCCCCACTGAGCTTCATCCCCAACCTCAGGCTGGCTTTGAACTCATGGATTCTCCAGCCTTTACCCTTAGCCTCCCCAGAACAAGGCTTACCATGTGCACCCTGAGCTCTAGCCAAAGTTTACCGACACACGACCTGTGACACGCTAGACTCGATCCTCTCATGTGTGTGTGATACCTCCAAAAAAATCAGCAGATAAAATGCAGTTCCCAGAGCTGGGCATGGTGACGCACACCTCTGATCCCAACACTCAGGAGGTGGATGAAGGCAGATCTATGCAAGTTTGAGGGAGCCTGGGCTCATTCTGTGAGTGAATTTCAGGCCAGTTAGGGCCACGGAGTGAGACCTTGACTCAGGGAAGGGTGGTGGTGGCACAAGCCTTTAATCCCAGTACTCAGGAGGCTCTCTGTGAGTTCGAAGCCAGCTAGGTCTACCGAGGGAAACCCTGCTTTGGAAAACCAACCAACAAACAAAAAAGTGATGGGAGACCCATAGAAGCTCACAACGTCTATCACTCCGTTTCCAGGGGACCTGTGACCTCTTCTTGTCTCCTCAGGCACCAGACATTCACACAGACAAAACATCCATATATGTAAATAAAATTTTAAAAAATGAAAACAAAGAAAGATACAGTTCTCATTTTTGGATTATGATAAAAATTGAGAGGTTGGGGGTGTGGCTTCCTGTTAGAGCAAGCGAGGAGCTTGCATGAGGTTCAGTCTCCCACCCCCACAGCAGCCCTAGCCAATGAGAGCTTTTCAGCGCCCATTTTCCATAGGAGGGAACTGAAGCTCAGGGGACAGACTGTGCAGGGTCAGCGAGCCATGGAGGCACATTCTAGCGGGGGTCAGAACCTCTCGTCCCCACAGTGTGCGGGGCCGGACTCTCCATACTCCATTACTTACGTGTCTCCATCTTCATCTGCACGGGTGGCCAGGGCGATATCAGCAGAAAGGGGGTGTTCCATGGGGCACATCCTGGAGTAGAGGTGTGTGGGCAGGTTCAGCAGCGGAAAGGGGGGTCCCACCGTTGGGGTAGGGTAAATGGGCACCAAAGGTCCTGAAGACAACAGACACAAAAGTAAGAGCCAGGTGAAGCCAAACCCACAGACTCTTGGCTAGGGTTCTCTCACTTCAAGCCTTGGCATCCTCCCAAATCCCCTGCTCCCATTCCCATGTAGCCCAGGCAGATCTTGAACCTCACACCCCTGATCCCCCTGCCTCTGCCTCTTCAGTGCGGGAATTGTCGACCCGCATCACTTCACTTACTATATTACCTTTATATATAATCATTTAAATTTTTTTCTCTGTATTGCCTGAGTGTATTTATGTATTTATGTGCACCACATTTGTGCACGTGCCCATGGAGGCCAGTAGAGGGCGCCAGATCCCCTGAAACTGGGGTATAGGGAGTTATAGGTTTCCACAATATGGATGCTGAGCTCTGAAGCCAAATCCACTACAAGAACACTAAGTCCTCTCAATTGCTGAGCCATCTCTCCTGCTCCAAGGTCCCTTTTCTTTTAAAAATCTATTTCTAGCCATTACTTTAAAAAAAATGTGTATTTTTTAATGCATATGGATGTTTTGCCTGCATGTATGCATGTGCACCACACGCCTGCCTGAAGCCGGCAGAGGCTAGAAGAGGGCCTTGCACTCCTAGGACTGAAGTTACAGATGGTTTTGTGGACTGTCAGACCTGGATGCTGGGAGCAGAGCTAGGTCCTCTGCAAGAGCAGCAAGTGCTCTTAACCACTCAGCCATCTCTTTAGCCCTCACCCCTCCATTGAAACACTGTGTCACTGTGTTTTTAGTCCAGACTGACCTCAGACTCATGGAGATCCTTCTGTCTCAGCTTCTCAAGTGCTGGGATTACAGGCATGCATCACCATGTTTGGCTACCTCAGGTTCTGTTAGCTCCTCAAACTTGTTCCTCGAGGCCCAAGACAATGTCCTGTCTCTCCCTCAGCTCCTGCACCCTTCGTTCCTGACCCCTATCCCTCATTCCCATTCCCTCCTATGACGCATGTCTTCTCTCACAAATGTCTCCATCCATCTACAGAAGAGACCTTTAAGGGCAGAGAGAGACCTGTCACCACCCAGCAGGGGTACCCCAGTTGCAAAGTTACACTGTGAGTAATTTCGTAGCTGGTGGACTAGAGATCTGGGTGTTGGGTGCCCGGTAAACACAATGGGTCTGGGGAGCTAGGACAGTCAGAGAACTTGGCCCCAGAACCCTTTTAGATGGAACTGTAGGGAAGGGCCATCGCAAAGAGGGGAAAACAGAGGCCAGGGTTCTCATTAAGCAGAGGAAGGCCTCCTGTTCTGCAGTTTGACGTCCTCCTGCCGATGCATGGATAGGCTAGAAGCTGCAGAAATTAGAGGGCCCACGGAAGCGGTGGTCGGCAGCTCTGGGTTACGCAACGCAAGGGTATGCCCCTTCCTTGATATAAAGCTTGGGGAGAAGGGTACCTGGCTTTCTGCCATCTGATCAGCTTTGGCGCTCCCTTTCTGCAGTCCCACCTTTCCAGGCCCCCCCCCCCCCGAATCCCTTCCCTCCCACCTAAGTCCTTCAGTTTCTGAATTCCTTAGTTGTGTTCCCCTTCCTAGAACCCTCAGTCCCCAAGTCTGCCCCTAGGGCCACCTGACCCTTGTGAGCACACACAACTGGCTGTGTAGAACGCTAGCTCTTTGTGCTAATTCCTCCAAACATGCAATATTGGGGTCTTGGAGGCCCTGTGTGTCGTTATCATTTAGGTCTGTGATCTAAACACAGGGGTGCTCAGAAACCTAACGCCTTTCTCTCAACCCCTATGCCCCCTGAAATCTCGGTTCGCAAGATTTAACCTAAGGTACCAGTCTCTTTAGATTCCTGTTCTGTTTCTATGACCCCCCACATATCTGCATGCCAGAACCCCAGTTTCCAAGGCCTGAGTGGCGATTAATTGTTCATAGTCCTTAACATCTGGTCCCTCCCAGTCTGAAATTCTGTGCCTCTGGGATATCATGGGACTCCATATCTGTGCCACTGGACACTGTCCCCTGACACCCCCCACAGGCCATTTGGCCCTTGGTCACCCCCCTGACCTCCTGGCACCCTCATGGTTGAACTCCAGGGCTTTGCAGCCTGTTTCGGAGCTGTCTCTGGGACACTATATTCCATCCTAGAGTCCCAGCTATCAGGAATCCCATCTATTTGTGTCCTGTGCTCTGCTGACCTCAGGTGGCCCCCCACCCGGCTCTGGCACTCGCGGGGGAGGCTACTCACCCTGGTAGTAAAGCGCCTCCGGCCTGGCCACGCCGTGGGGGGTCCCAGGGACAGCCAGGGTGTCGCAGCTACTGCGTAGGGGGTCCTGGGGTCCAGCGAGGGTGCGCGGGACTGCGGGCTCCGGGGACGTGGGGCGGAGTGGGCGTTTGCGGAGCGGCAGCGCGGCGCCCGGGGCGCCCTTGGGC